ATTTGATTTTATTTTGATTGCACGTTTTTGTACTTTGTTAGTCTGTGTTACAAATGAAATGAATAAAGAACTAGTACTACTAAGTTATTTTTATGAGTAAATTGATTCGGTTGAGCGCCGAAACTYTAATGAATCTCACCATGATCATTTTGCCGTCCTTGATCTCTCGGACAAACTTGGTCTCTTTGCCGTCCCACTTCTGAACGTGGACCAACTTGTCCCCGTCCAGAGTCACCGTGGACTGAAAGGAGACAAGAAGAAGAAGGATGTCAGCGAGAAACGTGGAAACTTACTCTGCAGTAGTGTCGAAGGGTCAACAGAAAATAAGAATATCAGAAGGCTACAAAAAGCTTATTTTTTAAACAAAAACACGATCTAATATGTTGTTTTTAAACTTTACTTTGCAGTTCCTGTCGTCAGCGGTGGTCTCGTCGAACTCCTCTCCCAGTTTGAAGGRGATCTCTGTGTTTTTGAAGGTGCTCTGGGTGCGGATCACCACCTTGTCGTCCTCCTGGCTGATGATGACGGTCGGTTTGGTCACGTTTCCCACCTGCCTGGTGGCGAAGCCCACCCCTGAGAGACAACAAAACACGAGGGAACAACTTGGAAAGATTGAACACAGGATTTTCCCGCGGCATTGGCGAAACTGTAAGGATGCTCACCGAGCGCCTTCATGTACTCGTCGAAGTTGTCGCTGTCGACCAGTTTCCAGGTGGCACAGAAGGCGTCGACCATGATGACGGTTTGCAGGAGGACAGAGTTTAGTTCCAAAGCACACTGAGCAAGCTGCAGCTTCCCCACACTTCTTATTCTCACTCTTATTATCATGCACGCAGGTGGGCGGTACCCTGCGTCSGATTGGCTCAGGAGACTTTTACTGCGTTGCGATTGGCCAGAAAACTGGGTCACATTCTTGGACAAAAGAAAACCAAGTTGTGAGCTAAATGATGTGATTAGTGTCCTTTCAGGAGTTTCAGAAGGGCGTGGCCAGATGATAACTGCCATATTTTCTTTTTTATTTATTTTTTTATCATAACTTATTTTAAAAATAAATATAAATCAAGCATTTCTCACTGGTTTGTTCTTGGTGTTTGGGAGGAATGTGTTGCTGCTGGGGGGCATCGCTGAGGCACAGTCACTTTGTTCGGCAGCCCATTGTCCTCAGCCACATTAACCCCACCCCCCTCCTCCAAAACACACACACACACACACA